AGACATGGGTCGAATTTTCCCATTCACATAAATCGGTCAAAACTCAACCGATTTTCATGAAGCTTGGCTTTTTGTCCATGGTTTTCCCTCTATAATAATCTGGCAATCAAATCTGACAACATATTTTTTAGTCGCAATTCATGTCAAAATCTTTCACCTTAGATTCGTATATAGACATGGGTCGAATTTTCCCATTCACATTATTCGGTCAAAACTCAACCGATTTTCATGAAGCTTGGCTTTTTGTCCATGGTTTTCCCTCTATAATAATTTGGCATTCAAATCTGACAACATATTTTTTAGCCGAAATTCATGTCAAAATCATACCACTAGAATTCGAACATAGAAGTGGGTCGAAATTTCCCATTCACATAAATCGGTCAAAACTCAACCGATTTTCATGAAGCTTGGCTTTTTGTCCATGGTTTTCCCTCTATAATAATTTGGCATTCAAATCTGACAACATATTTTTTAGTCGCAATTCATGTCAAAATCTTTCACCTTAGATTCGTATATAGACATGGGTCGAATTTTCCCATTCACATAAATCGGTCAAAACTCAACCGATTTTCATGAAGCTTGGCTTTTTGTCCAGGGTTTTCCCTCTATAATAATTTGGCATTCAAATCTGACAACATATTTTTTAGTCGAAATTCATGTCAAAATCTTACCCTACAAATCGATTATAGAAGTGGGTCGAAATTTCCCATTCACATAAATCGGTCAAAACTCAACCGATTTTCATGAAGCTTGGCTTTTTGTCCATGGTTTTCCCTCTATAATAATTTGGCATTCAAATCTGACAACATATTTTTTAGTCGAAATTCATGTCAAAATCTTACCCTACAAATCGATTATAGAAGTGGGTCGAAATTTCCCATTCACATAAATCGGTCAAAACTCAACCGATTTTCATGAAGCTTGGCTTTTTGTCCATGGTTTTCCCTCTATAATAATTTGGCATTCAAATCTGACAACATATTTTTTAGCCGAAATTCATGTCAAAATCATACCACTAGAATTCGAACATAGAAGTGGGTCGAAATTTCCCATTCACATAAATCGGTCAAAACTCAACCGATTTTCATGAAGCTTGTCTTTCTGTCCACGGTTTTCCCTCTATAATAATCTGGCATTCAAATCTGACAACATATTTTTTAGTCGCAATTCATGTCAAAATCTTTCACCTTAGATTCGTATATAGACATGGGTCGAATTTTCCCATTCACATAAATCGGTCAAAACTCAACCGATTTTCATGAAGCTTGGCTTTTTGTCCATGATTTTCCCTCTATAATAATTTGGCATTCAAATCTGACAACATATTTTTTAGCCGAAATTCATGTCAAAATCATACCACTAGAATTCGAACATAGAAGTGGGTCGAAATTTCCCATTCACATAAATCGGTCAAAACTCAACCGATTTTCATGAAGCTTGGCTTTTTGTCCATGGTTTTCCCTCTATAATAATCTGGCATTCAAATCTGACAACATATTTTTTAGCCGAAATTCATGTCAAAATCTTACACCTTAGATTCGTATATAGACATGGGTCGAATTTTCCCATTCACATAAATCGGTCAAAACTCAACCGATTTTCATGAAGCTTGGCTTTTTGTCCATGGTTTTCCCTCTATAATAATCTGGCATTCAAATCTGACAACATATTTTTTAGTCGAAATTCATGTCAAAATCATACCACTAGAATTCGAACATAGAAGTGGGTCGAAATTTCCCATTCACATAAATCGGTCAAAACTCAACCGATTTTCATGAAGCTTGGCTTTTTGTCCATGGTTTTCCCTCTATAATAATTTGGCATTCAAATCTGACAACATATTTTTTAGCCGAAATTCATGTCAAAATCATACCACTAGAATTCGAACATAGAAGTGGGTCGAAATTTCCCATTCACATAAATCGGTCAAAACTCAACCGATTTTCATGAAGCTTGTCTTTCTGTCCACGGTTTTCCCTCTATAATAATCTGGCATTCAAATCTGACAACATATTTTTTAGTCGCAATTCATGTCAAAATCTTTCACCTTAGATTCGTATATAGACATGGGTCGAATTTTCCCATTCACATAAATCGGTCAAAACTCAACCGATTTTCATGAAGCTTGGCTTTTTGTCCATGGTTTTCCCTCTATAATAATTTGGCATTCAAATCTGACAACATATTTTTTAGCCGAAATTCATGTCAAAATCATACCACTAGAATTCGAACATAGAAGTGGGTCGAAATTTCCCATTCACATAAATCGGTCAAAACTCAACCGATTTTCATGAAGCTTGGCTTTTTGTCCATGGTTTTCCCTCTATAATAATCTGGCATTCAAATCTGACAACATATTTTTTAGTCGAAATTCATGTCAAAATCTTACCCTACAAATCGATTATAGAAGTGGGTCGAAATTTCCCATTCACATAAATCGGTCAAAACTCAACCGATTTTCATGAAGCTTGTCTTTCTGTCCATGGTTTTCCCTCTATAATAATCTGGCATTCAAATCTGACAACATATTTTTTAGCCGAAATTCATGTCAAAATCTTACACCTTAGATTCGAATATAGACATGGGTCGAATTTTCCCATTCACATTATTCGGTCAAAACTCAACCGATTTTCATGAAGCTTGGCTTTTTGTCCATGGTTTTCCCTCTATAATAATTTGGCATTCAAATCTGACAACATATTTTTTAGCCGAAATTCATGTCAAAATCTTATCCCTTAGATTCGTATATAGACATGGGTCGAATTTTCCCATTCACATAAATCGGTCAAAACTCAACCGATTTTCATGAAGCTTGGCTTTTTGTCCATGGTTTTCCCTCTATAATAATTTGGCATTCAAATCTGACAACATATTTTTTAGTCGAAATTCATGTCAAAATCATACCACTAGAATTCGAACATAGAAGTGGGTCGAAATTTCCCATTCACATAAATCGGTCAAAACTCAACCGATTTTCATGAAGCTTGGCTTTTTGTCCATGGTTTTCCCTCTATAATAATTTGGCATTCAAATCTGACAACATATTTTTTAGCCGAAATTCATGTCAAAATCTTATCCCTTAGATTCGTATATAGACATGGGTCGAATTTTCCCATTCACATAAATCGGTCAAAACTCAACCGATTTTCATGAAGCTTGGCTTTTTGTCCATGGTTTTCCCTCTATAATAATTTGGCATTCAAATCTGACAACATATTTTTTAGTCGAAATTCATGTCAAAATCTTACCACTACAAATCAATTATAGAAGTGGGTCGAAATTTCCCATTCACATAAATCGGTCAAAACTCAACTGATTTTCATGAAGCTTGGCTTTTTGTCCATGGTTTTCCCTCTATAATAATCTGGCATTCAAATCTGACAACATATTTTTTAGTCGAAACTCATATCAAAATCTTACCACTACAAATCGATTATAGAAGTGGGTCGAAATTTCCCATTCACATAAATCGGTCAAAACTCAACCAATTTTCATGAAGCTTGTCTTTCTGTCCATGGTTTTCCCTCTATAATAATCTGGCATTGAAATCTGACAACATATTTTTTAGTCGAAATTCATGTCAAAATCATACCACTAGAATTCGAACATAGAAGTGGGTCGAAATTTCCCATTCACATAAATCGGTCAAAACTCAACCGATTTTCATGAAGCTTGGCTTTTTGTCCATGGTTTTCCCTCTATAATAATCTGGCATTCAAATCTGACAACATATTTTTTAGTCGAAATACATGTCAAAATCTTACCACTACAAATCGATTATAGAAGTGGGTCGAAATATCCCATTCACATAAATCGCTTGGCTTTTTGTCCATGGTTTTCCCTCTATAATAATCTGGCATTCAAATCTGACAACATATTTTTTAGTAGATTTAGCGCGGCGGAGATATGTCGTTTTGAAACGTCATATCTCCAACGAAATTATGTCGATTTTAGCGCGGCGGAGATGTCGTTTTGAAACGTCATATCTCCAACGAAATTATGTCACTTTTAGCGCGGCGTTTCAAAACGACATATCTCCGCGCGGAGTTATGTCGATTTTAGCGCGGCGGAGATGTGTCGTTTGAAAACATCATATGTCCGCGCGGAGTTATGTCGATTTTAGCGCGTTGGAGATATGTCGTTTCGAAACGTCATATCTCCAACGAAATTATGTCGATTTTAGCGCGGCGGAGATATGTCGTTTTGAAACCTCATATCTCCAACGAAATTATGTCACTTTTAGCGCGGCGGAGATGTCGTTTTGAAACGTCATATCTCCGCGCGGAGTTATGTCGATTTTAGCGCGGCGGAGATATGTCGTTTGAAAACGTCAAAATCAGATTCGTATATAGACATGGGTCGAATTTTCCCATTCACATAAATCGGTCAAAACTCAACCGATTTTCATGAAGCTTGGCTTTTTGTCCATGGTATATATATAATTGAGCAATATCGAGGCAACTAAATACATTATACTCTATTTGAATTTGATAGAAGCAAGTTTAAAAATATTTATATATGACAAATTTGATTATTGTTTTGACGATTGTTTGGTTTGGTCACGTTGGATCAAACGCTGGAACGAAAGGCTTTGGATTCAGGCTGCATGCACCAAGATTTTCTGTCTGTGGAAGACGTTTGATTCTATGTTGTCTAAGTTCAAAATATACACTATATACAGAGCTCTCTTGCCAGCTAGTTATGTACTCCCAGCACACAGGGTGCAAGCCGGGATTCCCGACAAATGCAGTTGAACTATAAACTTAGCAGCTACTTAAAAGGGCTTGGCGAATAGGGAAACTTGGCAAATTGGGGGCCCAGTTTCATGGAAACGCTTAGCGGTAATACTATTACAGAGCTGGAGAAATGGTTTGCGCACAAAGTTAAGTGAAACCAATTGAAGTTTACTGACGCGAATTGGGTTTCACTTGAACCTATCACCTCGAAGCGCTTAAAAAGCGTTCACATTACCAAATGGGGCTGAAGAACGGGGCGCTTACCTTCTTTTGACTTTTCGTATTGCTTTGGCGAAGTGGTCTTCTTGCTTGGAATGGGCCTCAGCGCATTGCTCATCAGCTGAAGGGATTACAAGTTGAATGACAAAGGGCTCTATTGGCGTAAACAGTTTACTCACAATACGATCGGAGCGTTCGCCGCAGGGCAAACGCGCCACTGCGGCATCGGGGCTGTCCTCCGGCGGCGGCGGCTGGGGCACCCAATTGTAGGCCCGCCTAGAGATGGGCACCCCGAAGCGATCATGCTGCGACGCCTGTTGCCTGTTGCAATGGTTAAAGCTTTTAGTGATATCTAGCCATAGTTAACGACATGGGCAAGTGTTTACCTTAAGCTTTCATAGCAGTCCAGGCACACAACGGCGTATTCACCATTCTCCAGCAGGAGTCCATCGTCGCTCTTCTGATGCTTTACGAACGGGAATTCATTGACAGGCAGAGCCCGCACTCGCTTTCTGTAAGTCGTAATGCCGCACAGATGACAGTTGTAGTCGTGCCAATTGTACTTTCTATCCGCCGGACTGAGGCTGGGACTTTGAGCTTCATATCTGAAATTGCCGTTTGCTTGAAAACCATTCTTGTTTGGATACAAATAATTGTGGAGGACTCACTTGCGCCACTGATTCAACATGGAATGATAACAAAATGTGCAGACTAGAGCCGAATTGTTTCTCAGCTGCTCAGCATTTGGCAAAGAGTTGTGTTTCAGCAACAGTGGAAAATAAGGTCTCGAGCCCTGCAAGAGAATTAAAAAAGAAATGGTTCAGTATTGTAATTCACTGACTACAAGAAAAAAGTATTGAATAGTATAAACAGAGGAAAAAGCAGATGGAATCATATAATTGTTGCTTGTTGCGATAAAGTAATATCAACATAACATTTTTATCTGCTTCTCATCAATTGATTCTTGGAGAGCTTTGTCACAACCTAATATAATCATAAAATGTACTTAATGTATTAAATGCTTAACATATTTTTGCATATATAATGAGACTATATATTATTTGCTAGCTAAATCCAATAGATCAAATAGGACGTTTGTCCTCTATAAGCTATTCGACCGTACACTATATTACTCTATATAACACTATATTACAAAAGTATATATATATACTACACTATATTGCAAAAGTAAAGTAACCGGGTCAAAATCCCAAGTTCGTGTGTGGTTTAGCTAAAGGCAATCGTATCCAGCTTACAAATATTTCTCGCACTGTTTATAACTATGATACTTTACATTCATATGGTTAAAAGTGTTTTACAATATTTAGTTCAGCAATTAATTTTGCATAAAGCAATAAAAATAAGAACTTTATTCGCTTGTTATTGATATGACAGATCCGACAATTCAATTAAAATGCACATTTCGCTCAGGTAATACGAATTTCTAGTAAATCAAGTGAAAAAAAAAAAAACAAAATCTTTTTATAAACTTGCTTCTAACATTGTGCATTAATATTTTAATCTCTAACAAGCTAGTTCCGAATTGATTACAATTGTATAATAACATACTTTGTGCATACAGTTAATTACATAGTAACAAAACTGATAAATTGTGTAGCCAAGCGATGAACGCAGCATATATTATATTCCATATATTATAATTCCGCATGAGTGTTATTGGAAGCATCGCGTCGTAATATCTTTTTCCCATCATACTAACTGATACTTTTATCTGCATTATTAGTTCGTACATGTACCTTAATTAGTAGACTGATATCTCGAAATGTGCAAAATTCGTGGGCTTAACAGTAAGCTGGCGTGCTTCTAGTACCTATTATACCTTAAACGGGGCTTCGTTAGAATACTACATGCCATAAATCTGATTTAATACGGTTATATACATTGGGATCTTAGGCGTGTGCTATTGTTTTGTCACGAAATGTGCAAGTTGTAGAAAAAACATCTTTAATCCTATTATTTTGCTTCGATTAAATCGAAAAGTTTAAAGTAACACTAACCATTCAAATGCAATACCTCTGCATATAAGAATTTGAGAACTAAACGTTGCAAGTTTTTAAACATGACGAAAATTAAACTCATGACAATAATAAGTTTCTTCGCGTCTTAATGTACGCAGAACTATCCTCTAATTAATAATACATATTATTAGGAAATAAACCTAAAAACCAGAATGCGTGTTAGCATTTATGCGAAAATGAATGACATTATTAGCTTATTGTTAATAGACATTTAAATCGTACGCCTGCTTATTAGCATTATCTTAACGTATATTATTAAGACAATTGAGGTTAATAACAATATTATCGGTTTTTTTCGATGTTCCCAATTTTAAACATACTAGCAGCAAACTTTTAGATTTGTGACAGCGATATTTTTATACAGAAACTTAGCTTAAGTTCACTCATGCTTATAAAATATATATGTTATCCGATGTTTATTCATTTTCATTAGAAAAGAAGGTTTCCAAACAAGAACTGAAATAACACCCTATTCTTACTATAAAGCTTTAAGGAATATAGCTGTCTGATATATAAGCATTCCTGATGCCTTGTGGTGATTTCAACAATCATTACAGGGTGTTCGGCTCGAAGTGTTCTCTTCTTTTACCCATGATTCTAAATTACTAAGTAGATAGACTTAGTTGGTATTCGTTTCAGTACTTTGCGACTTCGTGCGCCTCTCGCGTAAAAAGGAGGCAATTCCTGCAACTGTTTTCATAAAATACACCTTAATTAACCCCACACCTTAGCCTAAAACTACGATTTTAATCAATTAATCTCTCCTTTCTCTCTCTCTCTCCCTTTTTCTCTTGAGAGATGCATTAGCATCCTTTTACCTCTTTGCTGCCATACAGGATTCTGGCCAGCGTTAGATCCGAATGCAGGCCGCACAGGAAACAGTAGATTGAGGTGCTGGCAGGGGTTGATGAGGAAACGGATGGCGTTGAGGGCGGAGTGCAGGTACTCATGGCGCCATGGCGAGATCCATTCGGCGAGCTGGAGGTCATCATCGGCGAGGGAATGTTGTATCTGCAAGGCAAGAATAGTTCATTAGGCTCAAATTGGCTGATTGATGTAATGCGAAGGGACCTCCTGTGCTCCAACGGTACACGCTCCGCATCCATTGTCTCCCACTGGCTGGTTAAGTAGTTAATGCAATCCTTGCAGGCCAGCACACGATTGCTGTTCAGCTCGTTGTTGTTGTTGTTATTATTATTATTATTATTAGTGTTGTTGTTGTTGTTGTTATTGCTAAGACCGTTGCTACTGCTGCTGGTGGCATTGGCCTTGAGGCAGGGAAAGTGCATAGCATGGGAGTTCATGTGCTCGGCACTGGTGGAAAGCCAATCCATTTTATTGGACGGGCAGAGCACCTTGCAAATGGAGCAGCTGTAAGCAAAAGACATATAACTGTTAGTAGTGCATCACAAGAGTGTGGAGACAGAGCATATTACGGGTACTGGGCATGGCCATTCTCGATGTGTCCCTGTGTAGAGCTGGGCGAACTGGGTCTGGAGTCGGTGCGTCGGATCTGCTTGAAGTCGCGCGCCGTGTTTGAGTTCGAGTTGTTGGAATTCGTTTCGTATGGCTGCAATAGAGAGTTAAGAGTATTTTTAGTTAGCGTAAACGAACATATGCGCGCCTACTAAAAATAAAATTTAGCTAGACAAGAAAAACACGGAGCAGCACAGCGCACATGGAACGCAACTTATCTTATCATATTTTATTTCATATTTTGAACAATTGATTTTCCATTCAAGAGGCACCACTCAAATCTAGCTACACAACCGCCTGGAAGCGGTTCACTCTTATCGGCACCAGCATACGGGGCCCTATACCATTTATGGGAGTCGAACCTGCGAGCACAAACTCTAATCAGCTTGGCATTACGATTACCTTGCTTTGGACTCAATGTAAGGCACCTTTTCCGATAGAAGGCTTAAATTTGCGTGTTATCAGTGCAGCTGCTTTAATCGAATCGCATTAACTGGGCCAAACTGGTTTTCCCTCGAACTACATCGAACTCAATTACAATTTGTGGATGATAAATTATGACTGATATTCATAGGGTGACATAAATCACAATTTGATTGAAAATCAGCTAATGAGATCTTTATATGACTGCAAGGTATTCCAAATTTCTTTCACATTTACAGATTATTTTACTGTTAACATATCTACTAAATTATATGAGTAGAGTTTATGAAGAAACAATGCTATTGTAGGAGGATTCATCTGATTCGATCTGCTTCAAACCAATTTGAGACAAAGATTATTCGGGAATTCGGATTTTTTCGATCTACGAAAAACCCTACCCCGACGATGGACTGGCTATTCATTTTAAAGAAAGACTGCCACGCCGGGTAACTCTTAGTTAGTTTCACTGTGCGTATTTGAAGATCTCAGACTCGAATTGCCACTGCGATTGAAATCTTTTCAATCTGAAAAACATTTGAACTGGTTGTAGGCGCCACAACTCTAGTAAAGTACGTTCCCTACCCTACAATGACTTGGCATTTGAATTTGTGCCAAAGTCCTCGGGCTTTTCCATAATACGCTCTACTTAAAATACTCAACTGCACGAGTGTGTGTTTATCAAGTGCCATTAAAGCCCGGCTGCCATAAAAGGCGAACTACCCGTGAAAACGATTTCATAGCGTTTTTGGTGGCATAACAAAAACGTGTCCGATTCCTCAAAAGAATCTTCCAAATGCGTGAGCATAATCATTATCATCGATTCTGCAACAAATTGCCCACACACGAAATAGCCGATATTAAAGAAATTATGGCCAACAAGAAGTGAACGATTATTAAGCGAGTTATCATTATCAGCGAAAAGCGAGTTAACCAATTCGTTATGCGATCATTAACTACGATCAGACATACAAAAGCACTCATTTTTAAATCTTCTTTAAAAGTTTAATGCAGTGCATAAATATGCAATGCTACTACATTTGTGGATCATAATAAAATAACGAAAACATGCTGAAAAGCTGCCGACTTCGACAAGCAAAGGTTCCGAGTGATCCCGCGCTCGTCTATAAAAGCTGTAACTTTTGTATAGAAGACTGTTATTTAACCAAGGATTTGAAATATAAATGTAATATAACCAAGCCTTTTAAGTGTCATTCGTACAAAATGTACATGCTTTGCTAATGGACTAATTTGCATAGCTTGTTGTTGATACTATCCAAAAAAGATCAGAAGGATTTAGCTTTAAGACTTTATTTTTATAGCCTTGTAGAGGGGCAGGCGTATCCGACCACATAAAGTATTTATATTCTGGATCAGCATTAGACAGGAAATACATTTTTCCTCCGTAAGGTGAAGCACTGTGAATCTGTATATGCCTTAATATGAACCTTGCTGAAACTAACCTATATTGATATTTTGGCAAAGGCGGAGAAGAAACATTGATATATGGGAGAATATATATTTCAATACGTTTTATATTTTCCAAAATCAACTCGTTCAACAAGTTTGTATCTTTTATTCAATCCATTTTCAATGTGTTCCTATGTGCATATATTTAGATTGTGACGAAATTGGAATATTGTGTGGAGGGGAACAAATCGCATGATGGCTTCTCTAACGCTTAACTAAAATAGGCAGATAAATAGGTATGCGAGCTTGTTTATATATTTATTTTGACATTATGTTTATTGCTATTTGCGCAACTTGAATGACAAGCCATGCAGCTGTTTGCGCAATATATTATCACACTTTAATTATCTGTTATCTGCCAAAAAGAAATTGAATGCGAGGGAGCCAACTGCTATGCACATGTGTGTGTGTGTGTGTGTGTGGACCACCCCCAAAGTAGTTCGCGGGGGCTTTCGGTAGGAGTTGCCCCTGCATAGTACTGCAATTGCCAGAAATTAACATATTTAGTAAAATATGAAGACGAGCCCGCGCTGGCTGCCATAGATAACTGGCAGTTATTTGCATTTATCTATATTTAATTTTGTATCTGTGTGTGTGTTGGATCATCGTCTAGATGCATATATTGCCCCACAAGTACGTAGATACTGGCACATTTGCTTTGCAGCTAACTGGGCCAAAGGTTTCTCCAATGCGCTCTGGCACCTGTTTAAAGATATTTTTTTGGATCAGCTAAACAATTATTTGCACGCCCAAAGACGCTTTTATGGCCAGAGACACGTGAAGCAAACAAATGAAATAGATAGAGAGAGCGAGAGAGTGAGAGAGTGTGTGAGGGAGTCTCTGGAACTGAAAACTGAATTATTTCTTTGGCAATTGTTTAGAAACCCAACAGGCGACATGTTTGCATGTTTGGTATGTTAGCATATTTGAGGTAGGCTAAGAAATGTCGTTAAACCTAGTCAAGGCTGTTTGCGAGGCTTCAAGTCTATAAAACAGTTATTTCTATATAATAAACTCCGATGTCTTTATATCTGTTCAATAGCTTTCATTAAAAACTCTAGTCAAGGAAATGTGCTGATGCCAAAGATTTTTGTCGCAAATTTTCAGTTCTATTCAACAAGTGGTTATCTCTTTTCCTACAATTAAAAGTGAACTTAACGCATTTTAAATATTATATGAATGAAACACAGAAATAGTTGAGAATCAAAACGAATCTATATTATCTATGCAATTTTCTGGATAAATTGTGAACAAGGGCTAATAATCTACTACAGTCGGACAGACAGACAGACATATAGATACATTTATATCCAATTTATCGGATTGCCTGCTTGAAACAATTGCGCAATATGTTGAGCAAGATATTAGCGAAGCTTATCTCAAAACATAATGCAAAACATTCAAGAAACAGCTTTTCCTCAAATTACTGGAAGACGAGTTTAATTAGTTATTATGAAACTGCTTCAATTATAAAATTAAATTATCTTTGAAGAATCGTTCTCTAAGACTACAGATTGGCATGCAAAAAAGTTGCCTAGATTAATTATGACAACAAGTCAACAGAAAACTATAAAAATTGTCAGATTCGAAGAATTAACAATCAATTAAGAAGCAACAAAACAGAAAATCTTAATTGATTTATTGTTATTGTTGTCGTTGTCGTTAAGAGTTCTCGCAGTTTGAACTGAACTAAATCATTAAATACACGTATTTAACCAAAGAGAAATAACAAAATAATAAATAAACTACTTGAAGCAAAAAGCTGGCTATAAATAAACGTGTTCAAACAGAACACAGTGTGGCATATCAATCCGTGAAAAACCGGTTAGGCCCAGATGTCTACAGGCCGACTTGTCCAAGTTTACCCACTTTGGGTATTACGATAATACGTTCCTACGGTTCTACGAAGTTAGACGCCTTTTTCCCTTGATGGCTCTTTCTGTTTATTCTGTTTCGCATTTTGTTTATTTATACAATAATTCGTTTAATTTTTGTGTCGTGTTTAGCTTGTGTTGTTTTTTGAACTGTTTGCATTTGCGTTTAGTATTTGCCCCACCGCGCCCAGATCTTGAACAGTAATTAAAGCGCACATGGGCAATGGAACCGCACTCCGCCCGCCCTGGCCATGCGGAGCTGCCGTGAGCATGCGGCTGGGCCAATCTAATCTTGACATTTGTTGACTCAAATTGGTTAACATGTTGACACTCGACTTGCTCGGCTGGCCCATGCCTAGCCCCACGTCCCACGCCCCACGCCCATCGCCACGCACGCCACGCACCACGCTGATAAGCGGCAACTAATGAAGCTGCCCCACCGTTCTTATCAGCTCTTTCCGCCGGGCGCAGCTCGTATATTCTACATAATTGATATCGCTGCCGCCGACCTTCAGCATGCAAATGAATTACTCAACATGTCCCACCATTAGTCTGTCCATTCCAATTGTCCATCTGTCTGTCTCGCTGTCTGTCTCTCTGCCCGACGGGGCAGGTCGTCACCTTTCTGGAATGCTCTCGGGTTCGTTCGGTTATCAGCAGGGGGCAGAGGTCTCTGAGGTGTTATCGCGTCCAGAGTTGCCCTCATTAGCGCGACACGGTCCGAGACGCCAAGTTCCATTTATTGTATTATCCGCGCGGCTGTGTTTGTGCGTGTTTCAAATACCCTATACCACATGGCTCTAGACTCTAAATATAATAACAAACGAATCCCGATATGCTATTAAAATAATTGTTTTCCTAGATTTAATATATAAAAGTTTCTAGAAATATCCCAGCTCAATAAATATCTAAAGAAAATGCTGAGCAATCAAAAATTGATTGAATTTTATAATATATAAACTATCTTGTATTAATTATATAATTTATTTTTTGATTGATTAGGGTAGCTGGCAGTCGATCATTGCCGTAATCAGCGATTATATTTGTTTTTCCACACGATGTGTAATCGCTTTTCCTATATGCCTGCCATTATATATATACACTTAATTCCTGCTGTAATCGACAGCTAGTAAATTTCCATGTATGCCCACAGGGCGATACGACATTACAACTATACACACACACACACACACACCCGCATACCGACAGTTATATATGCATATATATGGAAGAAAATGGAAAACTAATCGAATCTGCACATAAAAATTACAAATTGTTATTGACAAGCAGCGCGATTTGTTTGCCTCAGACAAAACCAACAATAGGAAAGCCGGAAATGTGGTTCTTAGCCGGATCAGGCTGTTGCACCTGGTGGCAGCCCCATATCGGGGATAGAGGATGGCTCACCTTGAAGCGCACATTGCTCGTGGAGTCCGAATTGGCAAGCGACTTTTCCGACGGCGAATTGCGACCCACAAATGCCGTCACATGGTTGCCAGCGATGGGGCCGCTTGCGCTGTACATGGCCGAACTGGACTCCAAGGATGGCGCTGCTCCGGACTCTGAAGTGGACGCAGCAGGTACAGGCAGGCCGCCTTCCGCCAGGTTAGTGTGCTTCTCGCTGCATCCGGCGCAGATTTGCACCATGCCTAGGCATTCAAAAAAGTGGGTCTCAGTTCTAGCTGTTCAAACGCCGGGGCGGCGGGTCGACTCACCTTGCGGGCTGATGGGACTAGCGTTTTTGAAGACCTTCATGGTCTTGATGAACGGATAGTAGGGCTCCCGTTCCGTGTTGGGGCAGCAGTAGACGAGTCGCAGCTGCGAGGAGGGCGTGTCCGTGCCGCAAGTGTAGCACACAAAGGTTGTCCGTTCCGTCGCCGGCGCTGAGCGTTTTCGCAACATGTAAGAGCGCTGCGATTCCGGCGTGTGAGCGGCCTGCAATGAAGAGAGAGAAAGAGAGAAGACTTTAGTGGGGATCAGGTCAGGCCAAAAGTTAGTGCCATGGCGATAATCAATGCTAATCAGTTTAAGCCACACTCATTAAGCCGGCAAGACAGTAAAGCCGATCCCAGCAACTTATTCAACGAATTGACATCGCTTGTGAATTTCGTTTTCAACAGAAGCTGCGCGGAGCTGACTACTCAACTTATATGTATAAAATTCTATATCTATATTCTCTTCTTCAATATGCCCCTTTTCCATTTGACTGGGTACACTGCTTTAAAATAAACCTCAAAGTCACACAATTCGAGTGTGAAATGCAAATACGAGAGTGTGGCTATTTAAAATCAATTAACGCAGTTGTGAATTTTCACATACAACAGTCAAAATTCGTAACAGAATGAGCCCAGCTATCTAGACGCTAATGTTCCTAAAGTGAAATATCTACTGCTTACAACAACTCATTATTTCTTTTGTTTCTTGAATTTGAAGTGAACAAATGAGTTTTGTTTCTTGAATTTTTAATGTAACTGTGCAAGTAGACCCAGTCAAAGAGCATAAAAAACTTGGTGCAACTTGGTAATGAATAAGTACATTATATTTTCTATATATTTAGCGAGTATTTCTTAACCTTGCCCGATCAAGTTTTAGACAATTTTAAACCTATTTTCCGACCGTTGTTCATTGCGGTAGCAACTCAAAGTTTTATTGAAAAGTTCCACCAATTTTCCGCAGTTGACAATGGAATTATCAAAATCGACGAAACATTTCTTTAAAAGCAAATAAAAGCCCGCCCACAACTCAAGAGAGCTGAAACACATCTTTAATAATTCTTAATAAATGTCTTTGAATAAGATTAAGAATCTCGAAATGCTTACTTCCATCATCAAGGGATGGATTTAGTGAGGAGTGTGAAACACTTCTCAAATGAATTTGAACAATCATCTTTTGCAGATCTATCTTATAGATTATTAGTATAGATAATTATTAAATGAATCTTCCAGGCGCCAAAGATTTAATTCCGGCTGCCATAAAAAAAAGTATGCATGGCAACTTTATCTCTAAACAAAGTAATAAAAAAAAACTCTGGTTAAGTTTATGACAAATTTTTAACAATCGATTGATAAGAAAACGATTTCTGTTAGGTTTGGCTAAAATGAGTAATAAAATCGATCATCAGATTAAAAATAGATAACTAGGGTCAAGGGACTTAAAACGTATTTACCCAAAATCTTTTATCAGTTTTAATTACACAAGAATCGATTTGTTGGATTTGCTGTAATTCACAACTATTTTGATTTTTGTGCAAAAATAAGCAAGTGTATTAAATACATTTATTAATGCGCATCAGGCATCAATCAATCTGTCTATAATAATAATTCTTAGCAAATCCCAAAATGTCAAATCCACTTGACCTTCATAGGCAATAATATAATAGCCTGGCCAAGAAACAATGGTTCCTAGCACGGTTGTGCTAACTTTGCTTATGAATGTTTGTTTATAAGCCGAATAACTTTGGAACTAAAAAAACATCTTCTTCCCTTGACACCACGTCATTAGAAATTCGTTCTTAAATGACTTCGGACTTCATTGTCCGATTAATTGAGTTTACATTTTCAGGCGAGTTGCAGTATGCTTATTTCAAAGAACAAGGCTTGCCCGTCGTAAAATCTATGTAATATTTGGAATTGATTGAAACATTTAAAATTGTGATTGAAAAACTTACTTAAATATTTTTGCATGTCAATAAAATTGAGAATTATTAAACTTGGAACTGAATTCTACGTCACAATGCATCAACATTTTTTGCATTGTTAACTCATTTTATTGGCAAACATAGCCAACTTCTAGGTTTATTATTTTTTTTACAAGATTGTAAGCCAAACTTAGGCTTATCACTTGATTGCGAAATTGCTGATCAGATGAGAGAGAGAAAGAAAAAGAGAGCTCAATAATTTAGGCACAATAAGCCCCTTCAGATCCCCCCTTGGCCAACCCACACACTAATACGCCTTGCTACTTGGGCCACATGAATTCGCATGGGCTGTCCATCAACAAATGGCAAAAGCTATTTAATATATTACGTATACGCCCAAGTAGCTCTTATAGATACATATCTATCTATCTATCTATCCATCTATCTCTGTAGATATGTGCATGTATATTTATTTATTTACCCTGCATATTTGTTCGCAAATCCTCCACTCAAATTGTATCTGTGCCAAGCGTGTATGTACATATCTCAATGCAGACAGACACACAGACAGACAGACAGACAGACAGACACACAGACAGACGGACAGACAGAGTCGTATCTGGGCAGCTGTCCGCTGTTTCCAGTCGTATCTGGTTAAGACAAACACGCAAACGCAGCCGGCATTCATTTATTTTATTAGGCACTAAGCAATTTAATTGTTTGTTTACTTTTCTTATTCCATTGTGTGTCAGATTTTTTGACATTGATAGGCGCGCATTTTTATTGCACAACTCGTCCGGGCCTGTCATTTCATGGATACACACACACACATATGTGTCTCGTATGTGTGTGCACACACATCAATCTGGACAGCGTCAAGTCATCCATATTTATTGATCCGACGCCGAACGGTCAAATGGCGTCGCCTGCCTCATTGGCTTCTGTTGGCGGCACCGTCTCCCGTCCCCCACCCTTTCCCTCTTTCATCTAAGAACGCGTTCGTCATTTTTCGTGCGAGTTTTTAATGCTCGTTTTTCATGTTCGCCTGCTTTATTTGCTGCCTCCCCACCCCACCGCCCCTCCACCCCTTCGACAACCTCACAGTCTGTTCGCTTTTTGCTGTTCTTTCGTTTTCCATGTTGTTGTTGTTGCTGTTGTTGTTGCCGTTGATAAGCATTTTGAAAATGGGGGTCATGACCGTTTAATAACTTTATATGAAGAGGCTTTTTTCTGTTCTCTTTCTGGTTATAACATTTCTTTCACCTCTTGTTTCATTGTTTGCCTTTTGTCTGTGTGCCTGTTAATTATGGCCAGAGCGAGCGAGACAGCGAAAGATGTGCGTTTGCCGGGGGCATGATTATTCTTGGGGTCATACCTAAACAGTAATTGCAACATTTCACAAATCTAAGCAGAATCACAGCTTTATTTTGCTTAGTTTTACTGCTTAATATGAGAGCAATAAGTAAATATTTAAATTTTCTATGGCTATTCTATTGGGGGAGTTCCCGAACCGGAGAAAATCTATCATAATGTCGTTGGTCGAGTTGAGTTGCTTGGTTCAAGGTTGCCCTGTAAAAATGTACTAAAATGTATTTTAAAGACTTTATCATTTAATCGAAATATTTAAAATCTGTTATATTATTAGAACTTCATTTAATCGAAATATTTAAAATCTGTTATATTATTAGAACTTCACTAGGAATTATCACATTTAGTTAGATGGGCGAACTTGGTCGAGCATATTCTTTTTATAGAGTAAGAAATGTATCCAGATTTACCCGTTTTTACGCTAACTTACTCAATTTCCCAGAGTACATAGTATAAAGATCTCAGTTAATAGGTAAATTCAATTGTTTCCATTTGTCATTACAAACAGAATAAATTATATTTATTCCTGAACAAGGCGACGAGCTATTGAGTCTGTTTGTCTAAAGACTTGAAATCTGAAGAATACACTCTACTATACCATACTGATATTTTAAGACATAGTCTCGATAAATAACGATTTTAGGCATAACTTACAACCCGTAAGACTTTCGACTTGGATTCTAGAATCAAATAAAGATATAAAAAATACAATTCACCAAGTGAGAGGAGGAGGAGTGAGGGTATCTTCTAGTCGTGCACTGCCGACCCGAACACTCTTATATTTGTTTTCTATTATAGCCTGTTAATTTATCCATGCATTGTTTAGCAAGTTCTCAAACCGAATTTGAATTATTTTTGCAATTCTCAATGCCAGCAAAACATGTTCCATGCATTTATTTATTTATTTATTTGACCACAATAAATTGATGCCCGACCACAATAAATTTACTTGTTGCAATTTGGGTCAATATTGATTGATTGATTGACTGATTGAGCGCATTTTATCGCCTTGGGTTAAGCAACAGATCGAACAGCTCGAACAATCTTAAGCCGCCCATCCCACAATTATCAATCCGTGGCGGAAGTAAACCGATCCGTGATTAATAACTTGTAGCATAAATAGCGCTATCAACAATTTAAGCGTTATCTGCCAACGTTTAGTATTAATTGTATTAATTTGATGCGGCTAATATGATAATGTGCAAGCTTTGCAGCACATTTTCCTAATCGCATATATAAATTCCCGCTTCCATTATTGTTATAGGAAGTTCCCAATCAAGTGCGCAATCGCGCCGCTCGTTTCCGTTCTCAGAGTTAACTGACATCAGTTTTTTTTTTTAACACGAACTAAATAATTGAACTTAGTAGCTAATTAATATAAATATTCATGGCATTTTAATGGGAACCGTTGGCAATTACTAACTAAATTTCTTTAACGATAAATCTAGATGAATGTTTCCCAAAAAGAGCAGGTTTTCGAACAAGAACCTGTTTCAGAGATAAATAAACATTGATAATTTCATAAAATTAATATCACAGTCATAGTTGATTATACGGTAGCTCTAAGTCGTGGTTAAAATAGTATCTAGCTATAATAATTTCATAAGTTAGGGACGAATCTGAGCAACACTTTAATTCTTCAACAAAACATTGTAATTTCTTCAAGTGAAAGGTTGCCTTTTAGCTTTAAGGATACTTTTTGATGAACTTCCTTTTTAATGGGACACCTGCTCGATTACCTTTTCGCTTTGCTGTTCCTTGAGTATAAGATAAGTCTTGAGTTTTTTGTAATCCTTCCAGCCGTTTGTATCCTTCGGCCTAAAATTGACAACCGACGTCTCTGCCTCTGCCGCTGCCGCTGCTGCGGCGTCGTTTGTCTTGCCGCTTTCGCCGACAACAACAGTTAGATTTTGCGCCATTTTGGTTTACT